GATGTCAATGTTTTTTTATCAATGTGTAGTAAGTATTCCATTGTGTATATGCACCACATTTGCTTTATCCACTTTTGGTTGAGAGGTATCTAGGTTGTTTCCAGGTTCTGGCCTTTACACATAATGGTGATATCAACATAGTTGATATCAAATGTCTTACTGTATGTATGAGTGTGCATCTTCACCAGCCCCATACCTGACAGAGGACTGATCTCCAAAATATAAAAAGAACTCACAAAACTAGACACAAAAATATGAGTATATGCCTAAGAGTGATGTTGCTGGGTCTTGAGGTAGATTGATTTCCAATTTTCTGAGAAGCCACCTTACCGATTTCCAAAGTGGCTGTAGAATTTTTTCCCTCCCACCAGCAATAGAGGAGTGTTCACCTTACTCCGAATCCTCTCTAACAAAAACTCATTGGAGTTTTTGATCTTGGCCATTCTGACATGTGTAAGATGGCATCTCAGAGTAGTTTTGATTTGTATTTCCCTGATGACTATGAATGTTGAGCAATTTCATAAGTGCCTTTTGTCCATTTGAGAGTCCTCTGTTGAGAGTTCTCTATTTAGATCTTTACCTCATTTTTAAATTGGATTATTTGGTATTTTTGTGTCTAGTTTTGTGAGTTCTTTTTATATTTTGGAGATCAGTCCTCTGTCAGGTATGGGGCTGGTGAAGATCTTTTCCTGTTCTCTAGGCTGTTGAATTATTTTGTTGACTGTGTCCTTTGCCTTAGAGATTTTCAGCTTCTGCAGGTCCCATTTGGCAATTGTTGATATCAGTGTCTAGGCTACTGGTGTTATCAAGTAGGCTTCATCTCAGAGATGCAGGGATGGTTCAATATATGAAAGTCGTTCAATGTAATCCACCATAAAAAACAAAATCACTTGGAAAAAAATCACATGAGCCTCTAATTAGATGCTGTAAAAGCCTTTGATAAAGTCCAACATCCCTACATGATAAAGGTCATGGATAAGAAGACACCATGAAGGCAGTTTTTTCTCTACATTTTCTTGTAAATCTTTTAAATCAGTAACTATAATAGTGCATCCTTCAGGTAATAGAGAAGGCAGGGGAATTCCAGGCTGTAAAGACCACATTGGTTGAATCACCTTATTAATGGTTCTTAGATATGTTACCATTTTACAGATTTCTTTTTAATAACAAATAGATGAAAAATCCAAGGACTGGTGAGTTCTTCAAAATATTGAGCATTTAGCTGCTCCTATACCAACAGTTCAAAGGCCTGGAATTTTTTGTGATGTCAAAGGCCATTGTTCCACACAGACAGGTTGGTCAGTTAACCATTTTAAAGGTAGTGCTCTTGGTACCTTTGAAAGATCAAAAGCTGTTATGCCCTGTTTTTGTAGAAGCTGGATGGTCAATGACTATTCTTTATGATACCTTTTAATATTTTTCCAGAAACATGCATTAGTTCATGGTTTGTTTCTGAGTTTGGAGGGATGCTAATCTAGGTATTCTGTTGCTGTAATAAAACAAATACCCATATATTCATTGCTATGTTAGCCACATATCCATTTAATTTTCCTCTCTGTATTTCTGGCCCTATACACTTGAGTCATTTTGTACTTTTTTTACATGAGATTAAGTTCCAATTCATATACGCTTTATATTTAACTCCCAAAGAGGCCAGTTTTGATGCCAAGATTCTGGAGCTATTATTGTTACATCTGCCCCAGTGTCTACCAGACATTCAATGACAATATCATTTATTTGTATTTTTAACTTTTGTGTTTGATCATTTATAGAAGTTTGACAAAATATTTGCTTTATTATTTCTCCTGAAATTTTTGTTTTATCTTCTAAAGCTATTCTATCATCCATAGCATCATGTTTGTTTTGTTTTTTGTTTTTTTTTACAAGAGGCATTAGGTCCTTTAATTGCTCTAGGAAGGTGTTCTCTCCATGGTGACAGGGAATAACTGAACCAAATTATAAATGGAGGTCTATGAGAGGCACCCAAATTGTTTCCCAATGTCAAAGTGTTACCTATCTGTCCCTTGTTGATCTGCATGTATTGGTCCAATGTAGATCTTTGACACATATGCATGCCCCAGAAGCAAATACCTTCTGTTTGGATTAGAAGAAACACTGTTTCTAGGAATGCCCTATCTACAATGCATTTTTAGGTGACCTTGTTTGCCACAATTAAAACACCTGACATTTTAATTTTTCTTTAAGCTTCTGGAAATCACCTCCCTTTTCCAAGCATCACCATGGTAATGAGCTTCAAAATTGACTGTATCTTGGATCCATTCCTCTGTGGATGCTGTTCTTGCCTTTAAAGGCACAATAGCCCTTTTGCAGTGTGAATTTGCATTTTCAAAAGTCAAAAATTCAATTATTATTTGTCTAGATTCTGTATTTGGAGCATTCCATTTTCAACTGAACTCAATCTTTGCAAAAAAGTCAGTGAAGATTTCTTTTGGGCCCTGTATAACTTCAGTAAATGACTTAGTTCTCTTTTCAACTTCTTTAGTTCTATCCCAAGTACAGCATAGAGACAGGGTGTGGTCATTATATAGAGACTGTCTTTGTACATCAGCACAATCATATTCTTGAGAAGTTGGTCTTGGGAGATTTCAATACATCTAGATCTACTTTGTTGTTCAGCGGTCCTACCATCATTGTTCCACCAGGTTCTCCACTGCAATTGAAGACCAGGTTCTAACACTGCTGTAAACAAGACTTTCCAGTCTTGTGGGAAGATTCTGTTACTAGTTGACCACAAATTTAACATTTGTTTCACAAAAGGGGAATGCAAACCACATGATTCTATGGCTTTCTTAAATCCCTTCAAATCTAATATTTCCACAGAAACCCAGTGAGCTCTTACATAGTATTGGGGATATCTGTTATTTGGCAGCTATTGTCTTAGTGTGACTGGAGAAATTAAGTTTGGTTATTTGATAACCATGGCTGTTCCTCTACAATTTTATAATGTACTCTTGAGGTTGGTTCTCCTTTAAATTCCTCAGTCTGTGTCTGAATATATGTATTACCTGTTTTAATATGTTTTTCTAAGGCTTGTAACCTACCAGTTAAATTGCATTATTTTCATTTTTACTTGGTTGTAAGGAATACATATTATCAGTAGTAACCTTTTCTAAGGCCTGTATCTTAGTTTTTCTAAGGATTATATCTTAGCAGTCAGTTTTTTTCATATTTGACAATGATATCAACCAACTATTGTAGGGAAAAAACAAGAATTCAAACTGATAATAATTGTAATTGATATTATGTAAATCCCAGCTAAGCTACTTATCCCTTAATTTAATTGTTCTATTTTCAAACCGTCTAGTGTGTTATTATATGGAAGTCTAACTCCGTCATAATATTGTTTCCCATTGTTTTAACATGAGAAAAAATTTCCTTTTTTGTTTTAAATCTAATTCCTCTCTTTAAGAATTGCCAGTTGTCTCACCAAATCTGATGATGATGGTGAAGTGTGAGACTAACTGCTGCCTCATTGTCCATGTTTAAGCAGATAACACAGGCAGTGCACAGCCTGCCTGAGGACAGATGCTGCTGATCACATCAGCAGCCTGACAAGGGGGTTCAGGAAAAACCCACCATCTATGAGTGTGAAGGAAACAAAGAGTCACTCATCTCCATGGGGAAACATGTGTAAACAGCACATGTGACCAGAGGGAAGTGAAAGCACAGAAAGCACAGAACTTCCAGGTGGTGAGGGGCTAATTCCAGCAGTGTTTGCCACCTAAGAGACCAGGGCATTTGAGGATTCTGGCATTTGCTGAAGAAAAGATACAACAGGAAAATCCTACACTTGCTTGCTCCTAGAGCTTTGGGAAGAAAGAGAAAACCTAGAGGATGGTGTGGTGACTCTGCAGGGTGCACTTCTAGCATGTGCTGGCAGCCGCTGGTGGCTACAAAGCTATGAGCATGTGGCTATCTGGTGAGTTTTGCTCCAAAAGATGGATGTCACATGAAGTGTAAACATAATTAATATCATCAGTAAAACCCAGGAGTCGGGTATCAGGGTAAAACGTGAAAGACCAGAGAAGCAGTAGAGCAGTTACAGTCACTTCCTTTCTTTCATTACTCCAGTCAAATAGGGTCAGGATCCTGTCTCCACCCTACCTCATCATTTCCTGTTTCCTCTCTGTACAGACTGCTAGACTTCTAGGGGTAACTAGTAGCTACCACTGCCTTCTGACTCCAAGCAAGCTTTATTTGTCAGAACATAAACAAAATCAATATCAGCTCACTGAGGCCAGTTTGGGAGTTACAATTCCACCACATTAGAGACAGCACCCTCTCATTATGGTTGTAGTCAGAAAGGGCTGACTTCAGGATGGAACAGAAGACTCTATTAGAAATTAGTCTATCCATGAGGGTGTCATAGCTATTCACTCAGGACACAGACAGGCGGCATGGTAAGGTGGTTCAAGACACAGCTTAGGAGTCAAGAGTGCTTTCATCAGGATTCCTTAGATGTTATAACTTGATGCCTGGTAAAGTCTTCCTCTGCCTTTTTTTCTATGAACTCACATGGCAAAGTCTGTTATGACATTAACATATGCGACCACAGAAAATACAACAACATTGAACTGGGACTCCTATGTAAAAAAGGCACTGAGCTTAGCAACCAGAAAGTGGGTGTCAGCAGGTTAGAAGACACTATGTCCCCTCAATTAATGCACCTGTAAAAGAATAAGGAATTCCATTGTTTGCTGGCAATTTTCACAAATAAGTCTATAAAGATTATGCTTTTTTTCAGTTGTGTTTGGTGCTATCCTGGATCACTGGGCTATCCAGCCTCTGCATTGTTTCTTGGACTCCTGCTTGTAGCATGATTTTGAATAACATGTGGCTAAAGATCTCTTTGAACCAAATATTGAATATTCTGGTTGGGAAGTCCTGACAAACCCTCCCCTGACACAGCTCCCTGAACTTGTTGATTCACTGCTATGGTCACATAGTTTCAGTTTCTTTGTTCTTCACCCTACTGCAAAGGTTACAGGGATTTTCATCATTTGCTCACTTGATGAAATTCAGAAAGCCTCACGTGGTTGCAGGAGGAAATAAAAAAGGCAAAACCCATGCACCTGGACTGAGCAGCAAGAGCAGGTAAGAAGGGACACTTATCCTTGCTGGGTGTGGGGAATTCTGCTGGGGAACATGTGGCCATAAGCCTGGGTAGGAATGAGATGGAATTTTTGAGGGTTAATTCATTTTTAGAGCTATTATGAATAGAAAAGGCTGATCCTGAGCAGCAGTGGGGCATAGCAGCTGATGAGCTCTGGGTGGTATTATCAGCCAGTCTCTAAGTGCCACCACTATACTAATTTTGAGTTAGGGACAAGGAGACATGTGACAAGGAGACTGAAACAGGGCTGGATATGCACTGGGATCGCCTTCCTCATGTGTTCACATTGTCTGTGCTGACAAGGACACAGTTAAATGACTATGGTCAGTGATGGAGCAGAACTGCTACTGAAAGGTCTGCCTGCACCTGATTTTCTAGAGGGGAAACAGAATGAGGCAGGGGAAGAGCAATCACCTTGGTGAAAGATAAAGAGAGGAAATGCTGTGTTGCCTTAGGAACACAAGTGAGTAAGAGATGTGGTCTATTCTATAGCTGAATATGAGTGACTGGTGGCCCCAGAACACAAGCTCAGCTTACCACACACAGCATGTTCCACCTTGGCAAGTTTCTTGAAGTTTCTGTAGCAACAGATTAAAGAATTAGATCAAGGTACTTTTTTTCCATTTTTGTATTTGAATTGGAAACAATATGGTTTTACATGTCAATCCCAGTTCCCTCTCCATCCCCTCCTCCAGACCACCCCCCAACTAAAACCCTACCTATCACATACCCTTTTGCAACTCAGGGAGGGTGAAGCCTTGAGAAGGGGAGAAGGAGAGGGATGAGGTGGACATGAGGGAGCAGAAAGTTTGAGTCCAGGAAAGAATAGAAGAAAACAAGATAAAACATACAATAATAGAGGGAGTCATTTTAGGTTTAAAATCAGGCACTAGGGAAATGTCTGGAGATCTAAAAGATGACACCAACTAACAATCTAAGCAAAGATCAAGGTACTTTTAAAATACATTGGTGGCAGCTTGAGACAGGCAGATTATGGCAATATGGGGTATTTTGCTACAGGTCTTCTAATACAAGAAATGGACATGAAGGCAGCTAAACATAACTCAGATAATTCTTGCTCCAGGCATTGTAACATTCCAGATCTCCACAATCACACAAATTCTAATTGACCAGTCAGCCTTGGAGGTTCATTGACACAACTATGGCTGTTTTCTGGGAACCTCAGTTCACAGCTGAAACTCAGAGTGAAAGATGAAGGATGAGCAGTCACTATCATACATCTGATCTTGGATTCCAAGTGAATTTCCTCCTTGACAGCTCATTTCTTCATAAGATTGGCTCGTTTCTCATTTCCTTGAACTCTTTAACTCTCCCCTGAAGGAACAGATCCTATACTGTAGTTAAGGACTTTCTTAGAAGTTCCCTGGGCAAACTAAGTCTGAGGACAAAGTCTGATAACCTTGTCTTCAACTCCAGGACCTCAGGCAATTTTTCCTGTCCTCTGGAGACCAGAACCCCAGTCCAGAAATCATTCTCACTCATCACATTTTCTTTGACAGCTTTGTTCTGCCTGGTAAGGTCCTAGCCTGTGACTCCCAGTGTTTCTCTTCCTCCTCTTTGCATCCAATATTTTTCTACCAGATGAAAAGTATATAGAAGAATAGCAGAAGTCATTAATCAAACCAACAACTCCCCAATTTCTTTCTATTTATATCACTGTTGTTTTGTGCAACATCCAGTATTTACATATTTGGGTTTGGTCTCATTTGATGTAAGACTAAACCCAGTTTTTATTCATTGCTCATTCACAGTTAATGAAGCTTAATTTTCAAGGCACTTCTCTTGTGCAGCCATTACTTTGGATGGGACACTGTCAAATACTTTCACAAAGTTTGTAAAAAACACATTATTTTGGTTCTCTTGTTGTAATGACAATGTGATTAATTCTATAGATACAGACTATTTGCCACACGAGAATAACTACTAGGATAGATAGAGTGGATACATTTTATAATCTCTAGAAATTCTGGCCACAACATGGGTTTAACTATTCAGATTCATAAAAGGAATATATTTTATTATATCTAGAAATAATTGTAAGGTCATGAAACAAACAATGAAGCACTAACTCCTTGCATCTTTATTTATTACAATGGTAAACTAGTGAATTAATTAATATTTGAACAATTCTATAAGCTGCGATATAAATATTTTCTCTAAATCTGATTTTATTTTCCATTGATGTCTAGTACAAAACAGTTAATAAGGAAATAAGGAAAATTTTGTTGCAAAATTACACAGAATATTTGTGTTGTAAGGAGTAGAATGTTGCCACTGTCACATTATTAATTAAATTTTTCAATGACAGGTTATATGATTCCAAAATTTTATAGATTTCTTTCAACTAAGTTTCTGATGCAGCCAACAATGCTGTGTGTGTGTGTGTGTGTGTGTGTGTGTGTGTGTGTGTGTGTGTGTGTGTGTGTGTTTTGCAAGTTTCATTACTCTACCTTCTGAGAGAAAGAATAATATTCTAAATAATCTTATCTTTCCCCCTAACACAGGGAGCAAGTCTACACAATGGCTGCAGAGGTCCACATGCCAGGCCCCATGTGCCTCATCAAGAATGTGAAAGGTCAACTGATAGCCAACCAGGAGGCTCTGGGGATCCTGTCTGACATCACACAGCCTGTGGTGGTGGTGGCCATTGTGGGTCTCTACCGCACAGGCAAGTCCTATCTGATGAACAAGCTGGCTGGGAAGCAAACAGGTGAGTGCCCCCAACACAGCTGTTCAGCTTCACAAGGGTGTACTCACACTGTCTGCTTCCTGCTTGAGAATGTGAAAATGTTAACCTTCCTGTCCAAGTTAGATGTTGGGATCATTTTTGCTGTTGTTACTTTGTCTGTTTGCTTTTATTTTTGAGACAACTTCATGCTGTGTAGCACAACCAGGCCTTTAGCTCAGCATGTAGTCCAGGCTGACCCTGAACTCATGATCTTCTTGCCTTGGCCTCCTGAGAGCTGATTACAGGAATGCACCACCACATCTAACTCCTAGTTTCCCTTCTAAAAGCACAACTAGATCCTTTCAGAGATGGAGAAAGGCAGTAATAAAGATAATTTAATTTATATGTTAATAAACTTTAAGGTATTGCTAAAACTGTCATGTAATAATAGCAAGTTTCCAATGATCTATCTGGTTAAAAGGCTATCTATATAATATGTATTGACTTTTTATTATTTTAAGTTATATAACATGTATCTTTATAATTTTTAAGTATCCATTTCTGTGGCATTAAACAAAGTTGTGCATCTATGTATTTCCACCATTGATCTCTAGAACTAGCTCATTGCCACCTGTCCCTCTATTCTACATGCTATATCTATGGATTTGGTTGTCCTAGTAATGTCCTGTAAGTAGACTCATAAAAATATGGGGTTTTGTGATTGGTTCTTTCGTTTAACATTACACTTTCAAGCTTTGTCACTGTGAGAAAAGTGTTTCAAAAATCACCTTATCCACTCACCTGTAGACAAAACAGCTGAGTACTCTGAATGATGCTGACATGAAGATAGTTATAGAGACTCCAGTCTGAGTCTAGCTTTTCAGGTTCTCTAGGTTGTTTTCATCTCATCACTAATAAAATGCTGGATGAAACAATGTCAGGAAGAAGGGTTTGCATTGCTCACAGTTCAAGGGATATCAGTCCACTATGGCAGAGGAGACAGGATTATGTGGCTGTATATGTAATGGTAGGAGCTTGTGTCTTGTTCATATCATGGCTGATCAGGAAGCAGAGAGCAGAGTGCCATAAGCAAGGCCAGCAATAATCTCCAAAGGCATGCCCTCTGCCAGTCTGGTCCTACCTCCTGGGTTCCACATCTTCCAGCATAGTGTCAGCAACTAGGAACCAAGTATTCAAATATGTGGGCCTGTGATGAACATTTCCATTCTAACCATATTATTCTCCCTGACCCCTAAATACACCTGGACCAACTATAAAAGTCCCCACAGTCATAGAGTTCTAATGGTGTATAAAAGTCCACCAGCTCTTCTGAGACTCAAGGCAACCTGTAGTTTACAATGGCACAGAATAACCATCCCCATTTAGAGTGTTCAGGGGGATAGGAAGGAGGGAAAACACCACAGCAAGACTCAACCCAGAAGGGCAAGCACTAAACCCTATAGCTACATATGCATCATATAAGAGATGCTGTGGCCATTTCTAGACAACATAAGTCCACAGGCCCTGGCTCTAGAGTCCTGCATTTACAGGACACAAGGGCTCTCTCTAGGGCCAGGTCTACTCGCTGACTCTGACTTTCCTCAGTGGACATCCCACAGTCTTGGCATCTCTAACTTCCTGGGTCTCCATTTTTACTTCAGCTTTACCCTCGCAGCCTCACATAGCAAGCTCAAGAGCTGCACATGAGAGAGTGACCCTGTTACACACTTTCTATGGAACCCTGGTGCAAGTTTGGAGGCCTTGTGACTTGCATTCTGCATATGTGAAAACTGAATTTCTGTTATGTCTCTGATTGTGAGATCAGTACTAGGTTTTGTTTCTTTTAATTCTCCTGACTTGACTGTGCTAATTTTCAATAGAGATTTATTTTAATTTTATATGCATGAGTATTTTGTTTGGGTACCACACACATACCTGGAATTCATGCATGCTAAATAGAGGCTTAAGGTTTCCTGAAACTAGAGTCATAGACAGGTGGGCTGCTATGTAGGCTCTGAGAACCAAACTGTGGTCCTCTGCAAGAGCAGCAGGCACACTTATCCATTTAGCCATGCTCGCAGTTGGATTCTGCTAATTCAATTTTCAATTTCAGGAAGCCTGTCTTCCTACACATCTAATCCCTCTTTTCTCTTCTATGCTTTTCAGGCTTCTCTCTGGGCTCCACGGTGCAGTCTCACACCAAGGGGATCTGGATGTGGTGTGTCCCTCATCCCCAGAAGCCAGGCCACACCCTAGTTCTGCTTGACACTGAGGGCCTAGGAGATGTCGAGAAAGTGAGGACTGAGAGCACTATTTGCAATTCATCCACTCATCTCTGAGTATTCTACCCTGTTGCACTGTTCTCTGTACTGTTGAAACCTTTTATATTATTTATTGTGTGTGTGTGAGAGAGAGAGAGACAGAGAGAGACAGAGAGAGACAGAGAGAGACAGAGAGAGACAGAGACAGAGAGACAGAGATGTAGGAGAATGTGTGTCTTCCTGCTCAAGCATGAGTAGGCACCTCATGTGTCCTGGTACATGGGGTGTCAGTCTTCTTTCCATCGTGTAGATTCTGAGGATCGAACTCAGGCTGGAACTTGGCTGACAGCATTTTTCTCCAACAAGTCTTCTCACTGGAAATCTAGTTTTTCAATAAAAATTTGAACTTCATCATAGCATCCTTTTCATTTTTACATACATGCTATGTAGTCATGTTTAGCCAACAATAATAAGGAAACTAGTCACAGGACTGGATCATAGAACAGCAGGGTGGTAGTCTACAGCACTGAAACACTAACAACAGACTAAAGAGCACCAGTGAGAATCATCACAAATAAAACCACAAATCTAAGGAGCATTCACCCTCCGAGTGCAGTAGATGGCATTTGTAGGTGTATTCCTATTTCTTTTGTTTGGTTTTATATCTTGCATAGGACATAAAGGTTCCTCTTATTTTTTAGGCAAGTGTGCCCTCTAATGAAGTCAGTATGTCACTGCTGATCGGAAAGTGACATAAGAACCAAACCTACTCCTGATCCATGTGTGTTCTGACTTCCAGGGTGACAATCAGAATGACTGCTGGATCTTTGCCCTGGCTATACTTCTAAGCAGCACCTTTGTGTACAACAGCATGGGAGCCATCAACCAGCAGGCCATGGACCAGCTGCAGTATCCCCTTTGAGGGTCAGAACAGAATCAGATCGAGTGGGGTGACCTGTCCTCATGAACCAGCTATGTGACTCTGCATCTTAGTAGATGCAGCATAAAACATAAAAATAACTCACAAGTATGTAGCTACAATGTTCATACCAAGGTTAGGAACAACAAAAATTGAGGTTTGGGACTAGGGCTCAGTAAGATGTAAAATTAATCCAGAATGGTGACTCTGGTTGGTGTTATGGTTGTTTCTGGGGCTTTCCTTAATTATCTGCTCAGCTATGTGACAGAACTGACAGACAGAATCAGATCAAGATCCTCACCTAAGCAGGGTGAGGTGAAGGACTCAGATGAGTTTGTGAGCTTCTTCCCGGACTTTGTGTGGACTTTGAGGGACTTCTCTCTCGAGCTGAAAGTAAATGGGGAATCCATCTCTGCAGATGAATACCTAGAGAATTCCCTGAAGCTTATACAGGGTAAGAGAGCTACAACTGCTAAATGGGGATGTCAATTAAACCTCTGAGAATTCAAATTTTTCTGTCTACAATTTTCTTACACCTGGTATTCCTATTTCTTCTGGCTAGCTACTTACTCCTGGGAGTTAGTGCTTAACACATGATTTAATAGATTGAATTAAACATTTTCCTTTTGTTCTAGAAACAATTTTATTTGTAGTTCACCTTTCCCTTTATAGTAATTAATTTGACCTCCCTGCTTCAAATTTGTTTTTATTCTAAAACACAAAATATAGTACACAATGTATATATTTGAGGAAGCTGGGTTCAAGTGTCACCAATATCCTAGCCTGAACTTTTGGAAAGTGTAGGCCCACACACAGCTGTCTAGCTGTCAGGCATCTTTGGAAATGGAATATGTACACCTGGGTTTACATATTGTCTATATACACAGTCCAGCTAGTGTGTCGATTGAACTTAGAATGAAGCCCCCTTTCCTGTGAAGCCTAACAGAGCTTTATAAAGCATTTTAGATGAATGAAGATACTTAACACAAAACCTCCTTGTGTTAGTTTTGGTTTGTGCTTTCAAGGTCTCACTATGTAACCTAGGCTGGCCTCAACTTATAATCCTCCTGCCTCAGCTTCCAGTGTTCTAGGATTTCAAAAGCTCAGACAAATAAATTTTAAAACATACACTTACCTGGCTAAAAATCCTGCTTTTTCACTTGATCTAGGTACCAGCGAAAAAGAAAAAGAGTTTGATCTGCCTCGGCTCTGTATCCGCAAATTCTTCCCAAAGAAGAAATGCTTTGTCTTTGAGCGGCCAGTACATGGGAAGAAGCTTGGCCAGCTGGAATCGCTGCAGGATCAAGACCTGGACTCCGACTTCATGGGACAAGTGGCAGAGTTCTGTTCCTATGTGTTCAGCTGCTCCAAGGTTAAAACACTTTCAGGAGGCATCAAGGTCAATGGAGCACGTGAGTCCCTTCCCAGATCTCCTGCTCACTGTTTAGGAAACAGTATTATGGGATAGCAATGACCAACTTCAGCTTTGAAGAAATATAGACCTATTGCCACTGTAGTGCTAAGCGATAGATGGTACCAGCATTTATAATAGATTTTGTCTATCCGATTTTCTTGTTGAATAAAAAGAAAAGGAGGTAAAAGAAAAACCCTTTTTACATTACCCAGATAACTGATTCTGTGTTTGCCAACACGATATCAACTAGCAAATGAGGCGCTTAAAAGTAAGTACAATAAAATCTAGGTGGAGTTAGTCATTGTCCTGATGGAGAATTTTAGACTGCAAGAGCCCAATTTTGCTTCCTGATTGGAATGAAATGCTTACTATGGGCAGGACTAATGGCACAGACAAACATGAAAGTGGTGTGGAGCCTGTTCTCATGGTGCTTGCCTTAAAGCGGAAACAGACATTGCATAGACACAGCACAGGAAATCTCCATCCAGCATTCTTAGCCTTTGAGGTCTCACATCTCATGAGAGGATCTTTACACAGAGGAAGGTCTAATCCCATCAATGTGAGGTAGAGGCTGAGATGCTCCTCCTGTCATTCATCCAAATGACACTAAGGACACTAATGCTTTAAGTTATCAGTGATTGACACATCCAGAATTAAACAGAATATTGTTGTCACCATCTATCAGTAACAAACATTGTCATCTGTTTGTAGGACTAAAGAGTTTGGTGGTAACCTATGTGAACACCATCTGCAGTGGGAGTCTGCCCTGCATAGAGAATGCCGTCCTGGCTTTGTCACAGACAGAGAATGCAAGTGCAGTGCAAAAGGCCGTTGCCAACTATGATCAGCAAATGACACAAAAGTTGCAATTACCCACAGAATCGCTCCAGGAGATGATGAATGTGCACAGGGCCAGTGAGAAAGAAGCCATCAAGATCTTCATGAAAAATTCCTTCAAAGATATTAATCAAGTATTCCTAACGGAATTAGCGGTAATTTTTCTCACAAGTTTCTTGGATACAGAATTGGAAGGCAAAGTGCTTTGAAGAAATGAAATGAATGTTTGAGGGGGGCAACTGTTCCTAGATTTTTTAGTAGTAATAATTGCAATAAATTGTAAAAATAGATTATCATAGATTCAAAACTTTAAAACATTTCTCCTTTCTTGAGTAAGTTAGTAATATTCCCCCTCACTGAATTAAGGACAGAGAAGTAATTACTATGTCTGGTCAAGTTAAATGCCCAGTATCAGCAGACTGATCCAATATTTAGGCCAATAGCAAAGAAAATTTTAGCCTTAGCTATCTGAAGCAAATTATCATTGAGCCATGTTTATTCTGTGTCCCATCTGTCACCCAGTCTGAAAAAGTAGTTTACCTCTAAAGCTGTAAATCTCTGTATTGAACTTCACTGCCTAGGAGCAAAAATGACATCAGCAAAAAACTGGATCAGAGGCAGGGATGCCCTTATAGTCAGTGCTTATAAGTTTTGTTTGTTTTGATTTTGAGCTTGTTTTTCTTTTGAAAAAAGCTCCCAGAAATTCTAAACTTAGGTTTCTTTTCCTTCCTTTTTTAAAAATTATTTTTGCTTTAAAGACCAAGTTAGAAAGAAAGCAAGGGGAATTCTATAAGAAGAATCTACAGGCTTCCTTTGATCGATGCTCAGCTCTGCTTCAGGATATTTTCGGTCCATTAGAAGAAGAGGTGAAGAAGGGAGTGTATTACAAACAAGGAGGTTATTGTCTTTTAAACCAGAAGATACAGATATTGAAGAAAAAGTACTATGAAGAACCCAGGAAAGGGTTACAGGTAACCAAGGTTATATGTGTCTTCTGGAAGCTGCTCATCTCCTTCAGACTGCAGAGTGACCCCAAGCATCACTATGAAACAGTCTTACTGTTTACATCCCAGGCATATGCTTCTTAAACATCACATACATAAATATTATTACACTGGATATGTCCTGCTCACTCATCAGAGACAGTGAACTCATTTAACAATTGAGTTCACACTGAACAATCATATTAACCACCAGTATGACTGTCAGCCTGTGTTCCAGCTAGATTCTTTGTGTTGCAATGGATCCAATGATGGCCTCTTAAAAAAAACTTATAACTCATCAGTTTGGCCTTCAAACTAGTTTTAAAACTGTGTCTATCACCATTTTCTCTTTGTCCATTGCTCTTCTCCAGCCCCACACTTCCCTCTGTTTCTCATTCCATTGGATCCTTTTGTTCTGTACAAAGGCTATAGCAAACTTGCCCCATCTATGACTAGAGCATCATTAACCCCAAAGTTAGATCCCTCAGTCTAAAAGGACGGTCTCTGTTGTCCCAAAAAGGCCTCCAATAGAAGATATTCTTTATAGTGGTCCAGCCTGGACTGTGTACCTTCTTCTGTGACTGCTATTCTTAGCACTGACTGGCATCACTAGAGCAAAGGCGGTAGGAAGACAGGCATAAAAGCATTCAGTCATTCCTGCTGTTAACCTCATGTTCTCTGTATTCGAAGGCTGAGGAAGCTCTGCAGAAATTTTTGCAGTCCAAGGAGGATATGATTGATTCAGTTCTACAGACAGACAAGACTCTGACCGAAAAGGAAAAGGAGATTGAAGGTAATTACAAGTTAAGGGGTTAAGTGTCCACGAAATGTTTAATGTTTTAATTTTCACTTTTTAATGTGGAATGTTTAAATTACTTGTAAATTTGGGATGCCTACTGGCTGCCATCAGGCATGGTAGTACTATGACATCAGCAGCAATAATGAAGCAGGTGAGTAAGAAGAGAGCAACACGTGATGCCTTTCCACCTTCCTTCTTGCTTTTCCTCTCAGTGAAGCGTGTGAAAGCAGAGACTGCCTCAAAAATACGAGAGGAAATGCAAAAGAAGAACGACCAGTTGATGAAAGAGAAAGAGAAGAGCTATGAGGAGCGCATGAAAAAGTTGACTGAGAAGATGGAGAAGGAACAAGCCCAGATGAGGGCTGAGCAACAGAGGATCATGGAACACAAACTTCAGGTATGTTAATTGCACCACCTCTATGTTGTCTTCTTTAAAAAAAATTGTGTGTGTGTGTGTGTGTGTGTGTTTATTTATTTGTACATGTGTAATTATAGAGGCTGAAAGAGGGAATCAGATGCCCTGGCTGGGATGCTTGGAACTGAATTCCAGTCTGTAACAGTTTTCTGCTGAGCCATCTATCCAGCCTCCTCTTCTCTCCATTTATGTTGATCATGAAATGTAATGAAACCTAAAGTCTGACCAATCCTGCTCCCTTGTGCTGTTTATTCCTAAATATCTGCTTGATACTCTGATGCCCATATGTGGTGATTAAGTTTTCTATGTGCAATGGTGTCACACTAAGTCCTTTAGTAATTTTTGTTTATTTATGCCAGCTATGCTCTTTATGTTTTATCTTTATTTCTTTCTTAAGCCTGTATGAACCATGAACTATATCCCCATTAAAATGGGAAAAAGTAGCACAGGTTCACATAAGATTAAAAAGTATATGTAATCTTAGTACTTTGGGGGAGTAGAGGCAGGAGAATTAAAAGGTCAAAGATATTCTCTGCTATTTATGAATTCAGAACAAACCAGAATAGCCCCGTCTCAAAAAAAGAAAAGAATATTTATAGGATACATATGACAGAAAGGTTTTTTCTGTCATACTTGATATGAGATTAGTCCTAAAATAGTGTTTATGGTGAGAAGAACTATTTAACCCTCACAAGAATGAGAGTCTTTGTGTCCCTTGTCTTCACTATACTCTGCTCCCAATTTGTGTTCAGTTGGAAGTTAGACGAGGAAATTCATTATCTTCAGTCTGGAACTCTGATTCTCTTTCTTATTAAGTTGTGGAAGCTCACACTGAATTTCTTCTTCTTCTTCTTCTTCTTCTTCTTCTTCTTCTTCTTCTCTTTCTCCTCCCTCTTCTCTCTCTCTCTCTCTCTCTCTCTCTCTTTCTCTCTCTCCTCTCTCTCTCTTTCTCTCTCTCTCTTTCTGCTTACCTGCGTATATTTGTATATTTGTTCTTGATCATGTGTGCACATGGATGTGAAGGCTAGAATTTCAGTTTAAATATTCCTCATTACTCCCTACCATATTTTTTGAGACGGTGTCTCTCACTAAGCCTTGAATTCAATGATATGGCTTTCTTGACTGGCTAATGAATTTCAGGGATTTACCTATATCTGCCTACTCAGTCTGGTATTACACACTGTTGCGTATAGCTTTATTATGGGTGCTTGGGATTCTAACTCAGGTTCTCATGCTTATGCATCAGTAATGTTCCTGACTCAGCCATCCCCTACCACAGCTAAATTTCTTAGACTAAGATTCAGAGCCTTAGTCAGATTTTCAGAATTCATTCCTGTGGTGCATATTTACATAATATATGAGTATATGGGTGTATTAAAGTCTACAATGCTAAAATTTGAAGTCAAACACATGACTAATATTACCTATATAGATCATAGTCAACCACTGAGGAAAAAATTATACTAATAATTAAGTTTTATCATTGGAACTGTTTTTAATAAAAGGAACCCCCAGCAGAAGTGGTCACAGCTGCCCAAGGAAAAGCATAATAGGGGGAGGTGGTTAAAATTCCAAAAAGGAAAAAATAGGAAACTTTTGAATATTAAAATTTGCTCATGACTAAAAACAATTTAAAGAAGCATAATAAAAATTCAGGGCAGAAAAAAATTAAGGAATTAAATAATAAAAAATAAATTACTATGGAAAATGCACAGAATATAGGGATCAACTCAAAACAACCATTCATTGTCTCCACTTGTCACTTTTTAGGAGCAGGCTCAACTACTAAATAAGACCTTCCAACTGGAACGCACAATACTTGAAAATGAGATAAGGCATCTCAATGAAAAGGAAGCCTCACGAAGATGTGTCATAAGCTAAAGGCCTAAAAAATCTTGCTGTCCTGCTATTCAAAACAGAGATGAATAGAGGATGGAATTAGGAACAAGAGTCTCTCTAGTTGATAGTAATTGGGTCCTGCATCAGAAACCTAATAATCACGTTTATCTGCAAGACTGTGCACCAAGGATATCATTGACATCTCTACTACAGGAGAAGTTTCAACAGCACTGCTCAGAATAAAATCACATTTCCAGATGATCTCCATGGGGCAAATGGACACTGAGCATATTCTTAAATCTTGACACATAATTAAGAACCAAGTTGTCCAGGGATTTAATGGGTATGGGACCTGGATAACCACCCTCATTCCTTAGTGGAGACAATGTAAAGTTCTGCATTATATCAAAAGTGCTCAACCTTTTGACAATGACATGATTTTTAGACACTGGTGGTGGAAAATCCTATCAACACAATCCATTATGAATGAAGACACCTGCATGGAGATCTAATATATATATTAGATATACTCCACTTGAAGATGGAAGATGAATCCACAACTCCATGGGTGAAGAAGAAAATGTTTCAGTTCACAAAGATTGAAACTGTAATGGAACATTCCCAAACATTAAGAGGTGACTCTGGCCGGGCGTTGGTGCACACCTTTAATCCCAGCATTCGGGAGGCAGAGGCTGGCGGATCTCTGTGAGTTCGAGGCCAGCCTGGTCTCCAGAGCGAGTGCCAGGACAGGCTCCAAAGCTACACAGAGAAACCCTGTCTCGAAAAACCAAAAAAAAAAAAATTAAAAAAGAGGTGTCTCTGTATAGCAACATGATACGTAAGCATACTGTGAAGCAGTAGCTTTAAAGATAGATACTGAATGATGATTAATAATCTGTGGACATCAAAGGTGCTTTAATAATTTAACTGTAACCATAAACTTACACTACTACTCTTTTTTCCTTTTAGCAGCTGTACTTGAAATTCTGTTGATTTTCCCCAAGCATAATAAAATTATTTTCCATATATTGACCAGCTCTTAGTACTATTGAGTATAGATAAACTACACCTCAACTGTGAAAAATGTAAGGTAAGATAATGAAGGAAGCCAAATGGGGTCATGTACAGTTTAGTGACACACAAATATGAATCAAAGTACTACACTCACAGGACAAAACAAAGCTGCTGCCTCTGCGAGTCCAGAGGATACGCCATCACCGTTTCTGATGCAACTGTTTTGTTCCGAAGGGGAATGAGATTGAAGCCAACAGCCACATGCGCTCCCATGGTTCGCTTCCAGCTTGCCTACACCCAAGAGGGTATCTTTCACCCTTCCCTGGTCTTTTATTCGGGTATTTGAGTCATGTACCCTCTAATGAAAGTTCCACCCTTGGGGCCAAGCTGCTGTTTACAACTAGCTAATGGGCAGATGACAAAATTCTTGCCACAGTAAATGGTTAACCTCTTTTAAAGGGATGGAGAACTTTGGGGTAAAGGGCATGACTCAGTGAGTAAAGAGCTTTCTGTGCAAACACAACTACCTACTTTCAGATCCCAGCACCCACATAACAAACCAGACATGGTAGTGCACTCATATAAGCCTAACACTGAGGTTAGGGCAGGGGTAGACAAGAGGATCCCTGGGGTTTACTAGCCAGCCTAGCCAACAAATGGACTCTGGGATCTCTGAGAGACCCTGTCTCAAACATCAGGCGGGACGTACTTGATAACAGTCATGCTGTTTGCTGGAAGTGAATGTGACCAGAGATAATGACATTAAGGAAGTTAAATCAGTCTCAGAAAAACAAATGTATGTTTTCTTTAATATACAACCCCTAGACTGCATACAGATATATAAAATAACATATGTATATATGACATAAAAATCAGAAATGTAACTGTTTAGGGAAACTAAGAGGACTAGTGGAACGGGAAGACATGAAGAGGAGGAAAAGGCACAGGGATATGCTAAACATACAAGACAGGCTTATATGAAAATATCCTTCTGTGACACAGCAACATGTATAATAAATATATGCAATGAAAATTATAAAAAAATTGTGATCAACAAAGAGCATTTTGAAATAAGAATTCCGACAACTCCATGTGAATAACATTGGCAGTTCAGATAAATCAACTAATTTCTCAATGAAAGCACACAACACGAAACCTACCACATTTGTGATTTCCCTGATTGCTGCAACAAAACACCCAGCAAAGGCAACTTTTTAGAAACTTTTTAGAATGGAAATGAAGAAATGTGCCAAATAGTAATGTGAGATGTAAAATGAGTTAAAATAAGTGGAAGATAATTCAAGCTTCAGAATGAGAGGAATCAGCGAAAACTGATATTTACAAATCAATGTGCATATACACACTATGTTAAATACAAGCTTCTTCTGAAACTTCACAAAATGATCCTCATATTGACTCAGAGAATTATGTTGGTCACAGGCTCAAGAGAGAGCTCTGAAAAGACACCCTGATATCTCTAATACATGTGTAGGAGCTGGTGTGGTCTCACACACTGAAAGTCACAACACTTGAGGTGCCAAGGCAGAGATCCATCAGTTTGAGGCTAGTCATAGTGAGAATTATCTTTTTAAAAATATAACTGATACAAGAGTTTCTTAAAATATAGAAAACATATCAGGAAATAATTATGAGTAAGAAAACTGCAAGACCATGCTTTAATGATAAGAATCTATTTCACATATAAACCATTAAAACAAATTCCTCATTGTTAAGTTTCCTGATGCTCTCCTTGGCAATCTTGGGTTGTTCAGTTATCTAGTGTCTGGGTTTCTTTATTTCCTCTACTCTACCCTCTGAGGAGTCCAGTTTACCCACTGCATTAACGCTGTTAGGACAGTGACTGGGTCTCATGAGTCTTCATGCTTCCCAATACATCCTCCACAGTGCTGTGTACACAGTCCTTAGGCTCAGTGAACACCCACACACATTGTGTCCAGTGTTTTCCCAATTTGAAAGTTCTGCCTTTGCTATGTGTGAGCTCTGTGATCCCTGTTGCTGCATAGTAGATCTTACTACGGAGCTCATTTTATAATCTGCATTTCAGCATAAAAACTTTCTGCACATGATATTCATAATCTCAGGACATGGAAAAAACTTCCAACAGTCAGATGTAGAACAAACTGCACAAACAGCATCCCAACCCATTCATGAAGAAAAGTCTCTGGGTTCTTCACATCCAGGTGGTTTCCAAGAAACCTAGCCTGTCTGCTTTCACTCCTGCCTGAAATAAAAAGGAGTCCAGTTTGTCCTGAATGCACTAGCAAATCCTTTCTTACAGAAGAAATGGAGGAAGCCTGAGGTTTTCCTTATCCATTGTTTGGAGACTCTGTAGACTTCAAATTCAGAGATGGGAAAGGGAAGAAAGTTTCTGATGGTGTTGGTAAAACAGAGTCATACAGAAACCCAATTTGAACCTATACAGAATCCAACTGAACAAAGCTCACCTTACTGTGTTCTGAAATCCCAGAAGGGGCAGCTGTGTGGACACCATGGTCTGATAAACTATTAAGAACACATTAGGGGCCTGAGGAATGGCTGGGTGGCTAAGAGCATGGTTTTCTTTTCTTACAAAATCTGGAGTCTGTATCTTAGCAACCATGCAGAGCAGCTCACAACTGTTAGTAACTCCAGCTCCTGCATACTCTTCTAACGTCTGCAGCGACCCTCACACAGGTGATAGATGGTCACATACACATGAGGAAATGAAATAAAATCTTAAAAACAGACAACCAATGTAGGGGACACATTAACAACGCCTTCTCAGGGCTGGCTACAGGTGTACCTGGCCATGCCCCCTAGGATGTGGTAAGGGGGACATGAGTAGGCTTAAGAGTGAGGGGATGCACATGGTAGCCCCTTCTTTCCCTTTCATCATTGGCTTGCTCTACTTACTTTATTCCCTGCTGACTGGCTAGTTTGCTCAGTAAGTAAGGCAACTCCCTAATAAATGTACCCTAATATCTTTACCTTACTCCGTATTGGTAATTAGCCCATTATTTGGTGTCAGGAAGTGTAATACACGCCTATGCCCCGGTCGGGAATACATGTGGGGACTGCCTGCCGACTTGAGTAGCAAGCAGGTAGCTCGCTGGGCCAGGAAAGTCCTTCCAGCTCTCGAGTTCAGCCCAGAAGCTGCACCACACAAGTACTCTGCATTGGGCCAGAAGGACAAAAATGGTAGGCTAAAACCATATGGCATAGACATAGCTATAAATCTCTGGGGTTGTGATCTTTTGCAGCAATGGAATATCCAGAGTAATATTCCTCCAGTATCAGATGCAACTTATGTACAATCTTTAGATGGTAGACAAAATTTAGTAAGTCACTATGGAAAACAGATACCAACCATCCAGGCTATGCAGAAACTAAGTAAAATGGTAGATAGACCCTCAGAGAAGCCTAAGGCCCTACCATTAAAGCGGTTACAGATGAATCTGAGTAGGACAATGGCCTATGACCTCTGAGAAACTAGAGGCTTTAGAAAGGTTAGTTCAGGAGGAGCTAGATGCTGTACATATAAAGGATTCTACCAGCCCTTGGAATTTTTCTGTATTTGTTATTAAAAATAAGTCAGGGAAATGGAGAATGCTCACAGAGCTGGGAGACATCAATAAAGTGATTCAGCCAATGGGCTCTCTATAGCCTGATATGCCTTTGCTTTCCTTGATACCTAAAGGATGGCCTATCATAGTCATTAATCTGAAAGATTGTTTCTTCACTATACCATTACAAGAAAATGATAGGGAAAAATTTGTGTTTACCGTACCAACTCTTAATAATTTACAGCCAGTTAAGAGATTCCAGTGGAAGGTTTTGCCACAAGGAATGCTAAATAGTCCTACTTTATTCTAGCGCTTTGTACAACCACTTTGGAAATAATTTGTAAGAAATTTCCACAATCCCTTATTTACCATTACATGGATGACATTTTATAAGCACATTCTAATAAAGAAATATTAGAGCCAATGTTTGAAACAGTGAAGGAAGTTCTGCCTTCCTGGGGGTTACAGGTTGCCCCAGAAAGACACAAAGAGGAGATTCTATTAATTATTTGGGTTATAATATAGACTTACAAAGAATCAGACCTCAAATGGTACAAATTGGAAGAGACCGTTATCAAACCCTTAAATAGTCTTCAGAAACTACTAGGGGAAATTTCTCAACTATAGACAATAATTGTTGTGGAAATACATGATTTAAAGCATTCAAAACTTGCCCTTAAAGGGGACAAGGACTTGAACAGTCCACGAATATTATCCACAAGCAGAAAAGGAATTACAATGGGTAGAAAGTAAAATGCCAGATGCACATGTAGGTCTTGTAGACCCTAATTTAGACTGTATTTTGTCATATTACCATCCAGAGAATACCCTTCTGGGATTCTGATGCAGAGAGAAGGTATTATATTGGAATGGATATTTCTGCTACATAAACAAAGTAAAAAGCTAAAGACATATATAGAAAAGATTTCTGATTTGCTTCTAAAGGGCAAATTAAGACTCTGTCAACTGACTGAGAAAGACCCGGTAGAAATTATAGTACTTTTAACTAATGAAGAAATTTCCTCCTTGTGGAAGAACAATGAATATTGGCAGATAGCTCTTACAGACTTTTGGGGAAAAATTAGCAACAATTATCCTAAAATTGACAGAATTAAATTCATGAGAAAGACAATCTGGATCCTTCCACTTACTGTAAGACAAACTCCCATTTATGGAGTTCTTACCTTCTACACTAATGCCAACAAATCAGGTAAGGCAGGTTACAAAGCTGGAGAGGTAAGTAAAGTAGTTCAACATCCATATACCTCTGTACAAAAGGCAGAATTGTATGCAATTCTTATGGTACTTATGGATTTTATAAGGCCTCTCAATATAGGATTCTCAATATGTGGAGAGAGTTGTGTTGTACATTGAGACTTCAGAATTCATTCCTGATAATATAAAATTAACTTCACTCTTTATA